GAGAGAGAGAGAGAGAGAGAGAGAGAGAGAGAGAGAGAGATAGATAGATCAATAACTAAATAAATCGATAGATTGTTGATAATCTGTGCTTCTAGCGGAAAGATTCTGGTACTACTACCATGAATCTAAAAAAAAACACGCAGCACTAGCTTGCTTAGCGAGGTGTTATATTGCAAAGCGACTTTGCACGCATAATACGGCACGCCCTGTGTCAAGCTCACCAATACTCAGCTGTTCTTCAATATCAGTTATGATTGGCTATAATTACGAGCTTTGATGTAATACGTAAATATGGAATCTCATAAAAAAGCGTCGTGTCTGCTTCCATGACGATGTGCATGCACGCTCATGCGTGCATGCACGCTCATGCACACACATGATACGCTATCATCACGTGCTAGTTGCTGAGCAAGGCAACACGCTTCCTATACCGATACCGTACAATACCGTACCGTACCAACGAAAAATACGTACAATACGATCCCGTGCGTATAGTACGATACCGTGCGTACAATACGATACCGTACGTACAGTACGATATCGTACTTTCAATACGATACCGTACGTACAATACGATACCATATGTACAATACGATACCGTATGTACAATACGATACCGTACGTACAATACGATACCATATGTACAATACGATACCGTACGTACAATACGATACCGTGCGTACAATACGATACCGTACAACGAAAAACACAGCCGCCAAAGTAGAATCACCATCTAAATCTCACCACAGAAATCACGCGACCATTAGAATCTGAATAAAATGGCCTTAAATCCACTTGAAACAATTTAACTTTGTGGTTATGACATCGTCCACCTACTCGCTAGATGAAGCCATTCTGAGAGATCCATTGATGAGATGGAGGCTATATAACTGGACTGTGACGCGCGCGTGAGTGTGCAAGTGCACAATTACGCTAACCCGACCAATTATTGTCGGTTTGCGTCAACAATCAGAATGCAGTTGCCAGAGCGAGATTAGCAAACTGCGATATTAGCAAACTGCGAGCGTCATTTCGGCTGCAAAATCAATCAGTCGGTCGACGGAAGCAGCTATTAGGACGAGAGTCACGCTCGCTAGCGTGGCGGGAGCGCATTGTCGGGGCGATTTCCACGCACGTCATCTGTTCGATCATTCATTTCATCTGGAAACTTGTCGCTAATATGCAGTCACGAGCGTATCAATAGATGCCCGCTGCGACACAACAGGTGCAGGATGCACATCGCTGGCGATCGTGAGAGAGTATATTATATGACGTTAGACTGATGTTGACGAAAGTCGTGCGTGCGCAAGCGAATAGGTCAACAAACCGAGCGCGCGGCCACCTCATCGTTCCGCAGTCACGGCTTCTACCCACACACGCGCAACTTCTGCCCCAGAATCCCGCCTTGCTATCACGAGTGGCTGCTGGCGGCCCACTGGCCTAGCAGCATCCTATACCTATATACGTCAGCAACTTTCATCGCGGCAGCCTCGCAAACGCAAATGAGATGCGAACTAACTCCAACGATCATGAATCTCTACATCCTTCTCTCATTATAAGTCCACATCTTTCTCTCCTCATAATTTTCTCATCCTTTCATAGTTCCACACAAATTCTCTCCTCGTCATTTTCTCATCCTCTCATGCTTTCACGAATTCTCTAGCAGTATCGGTCGATACCGCATTATCATGGGATCATCTGTTATAATGAGCCTTTGTATTTACCATTAAGATATATATATATAGGACGGGCTGTCGAATTCCTTTACATTAGTATATTATCTAATAAGAAAGCGTCTAACGTGCGAATTTCTTTATCATCGATGTTATTTGACCGAGTGTATCTCCCCCGCGAGAGAAAGTGTATGATGCACAAATCATTTAGAAATTCGCAGACACGTGTTATACGATATCATATATATATATATATATATATATATATATATATAATAAA